ATGTCTTGGTTGAGTGATTTTTCTACCTTTGGCTGTTGTCTCTGTTCTTGGTAAACATTCTTCAAAACTTTCTGAGCTTGAACTCTCTGTATCTTCATTTGACTCATCTTCTGTTATATTTTGCTCTTGTATTTCAATTTCAATTTCATTTATTCCTCCTTTTAAGTTATGTTCACTTTCAATCTCTTCTATTACTTGCCTGAACTTTTCTGGCTTCTGATTTTTCTTTATTTTGTCATAGTTGATTGTCTTCTCATCAAATCTCACGTCTCTTGAACAAAAAATATCATTTTCTTCATAATTCCATAGTCTGTAACCCGATCCAGTATATCCTACATGTATACATGGTTGTGTCCTTCTTTCTAGTTTACTCTGCCTTGGTAAGATTACTGCCCACGCTTGGCTTCCAAAAACTCTCAATTTAGATATATCATTCTTACCATACCATCTTGTAGCTGGAGTTTCTCCGTTATTTGCCTCTGTCGGAGACCGGTTAAGCTCATAAGCAGAACACTGAATGGCTTCACCCCATAACTCTCTAGGTAAGTTCGTTTCAACAAATTTTGTTCTTACTTTGTCCAATAATGTTCTATTCATACGCTCCGACGCGCCGTTCTCTTGCGGTGTATATGACATTGTATATTCCAGCTCAATCCCTTTTAATCTGCAAAAATTTTTAAATAAATTCGACGTAAATTCCCCACCATTATCTACCCTTATTCTTTTCGTTTTTAACCCATGTTGTGTTTTTATTAATTTTATAAAGTCAATCAAGTTTTGTTCCCCTTCGCTTTTATTTTTCAAAAGTTTAATGACCAAAAAATGAGAATAATCATCAAGCAAAACTTGAAAGTATCTATGCCCTTCAGGCGTTGGCGTTTGTACTGGACCTGCAATGTCCGAATGTATCAACTCACCAATCCTAGCTGTCGTCTTTTCTTTTCTATAAAAAGGTTTTCTAGTGCCTTTGCCCTCTACACATGTACTGCAAATCTCTGAACTGTATGGCAAGCCTAACTTACTTAGATTATGCCTATTTATATGCCCTAACCTTCTATGCCAAATATTTTTATCTACATTTTGCTCTACACTTTTCTCTCCTATAGTATAATTACAATTTTGAGTCTTGAAATCTATGGTTAGAACAAACAAATCATTGTGTGCCTTGCAGTAAAAATTTAAATTATTTTTAGATAAAATTGCCTTTTTTATTCCTGACCTTGACTCGCTACAAAAACTAACTTCAAAATCTTTCTCAAGTAACATGCTCACAGATAATAAATTATGTGTCATACCTTCAATAATCAATGCTTCGATGGTTATTTCTTTTCCTTGACAAACCCCTCTTAATTTACCTTGCTTGTATCCATACAAAACTTCATTATTCTTTGCTGTGCCGATCTTCACGGTTGGTATTTTCTTGACATTTGACATATACATTTCCATTTCACCCATAACCATGTGCTGTGTACACCCTGAGTCCAAAATAAAATCTTTTATACTTCTTGTCCGATTTTCTGTGATGCTATGCAACGCAATGAATGCTATTTCTTCTGTCTTGTCTGCAACATGACTGTTTCCACCTCTGTTTTCATTCCTTTGTAACCTTGACCTCGTAACTGCGCTCGGTTATTCTGTGAATAGCCTCTGTTGTAACCTCTACGACCTCTGAAGTTTTCTCTTAATGTATTGCCCTGTCTGCACTCAAAAAACTTATGCCCTTGTCTGCCACATTTATAACATGCAAACGACATTTCAGTATTGCTATTGCTTTGGCTGTGTTTATTCTTAAATTTTATTTCTTCATCCAGCAATCTAGCCTTTACAAAATCCATTTTTATGGCAGTGTTCATTGTCTCAATTGCAGTTATTACAGGTTGGTAATCTTCATTCAACGAAAGCAACAGATGGCATACCTTATCTTCTTCCTCCATCTTTCCTGAACCAGCATTTTCCAAGTCTCTTATTAGAGTATCAAAAATAAGAAAATGATCTTCTAATTTATCACCTCTTTTTAACTTTAATGTCAGTAACTTTCGCTTTAAAGTCAGCTTGGTAAATACACTTTTTCTTTCAAATACTCCTTCCAGTGCTTCCATCATTTCCTTGGCGGTTTTAGCATCTTTTACTAGATCCAAATGCTTATCTGTTAAACATTGTACAATTATGCTTTTTGCTTTTGCATCTTTCAACTTGAATTCATTTTTCTTGGTGTCATCTGTGTAGTCATTTTCGGTTTTTTCAAGTGCCTCGGATATTTGTCGTTCATCTAACAGTGTATGTACCCTAAACTTCCAGTTGTTGAAGTTTGTAGAAGTTGTTAACTGTGGTAAATTCACCACTGAGCTACTCATTTTTTTTTTTTATTTATTAGCTTACTTTTTCAGCCTTAACTTCTTATGTTTCTTCTACTTCTCTGCTTGGCCCATAACCTATTACAGTATCTGGGGGGTTGATTTACGTCTTTGATGATAGCGAACTTCTAACTAATTACTTTAATCATTAATTTATTATAAAATATTAAACGTGAGTTACAAAAGCATATCTTTTGGTTACATTATTATATTAGGTTATGTTCTATTGCTAGGCGCTTTCGGCTTTCACTCTCAGTGCACTATATTACTCTAACAGAATGAAGCTCATTCTTCAACGATTTTTAGTGACATTTAGTTTTCAAAGTATACCTATTGGTACCTTCAAAATTGTCAAACCTTCTAAAATGATAGAATCCACCTGTCAGTTGGCCAGTAAGTAAGTGTCATCATGGTGTCATCAACTGACATATTTTGTAAATTAAAAATCCCCAACTAACAGCGCCCACAATTTTTTTTTCAAAAATGCAAAATAAAATCCAAAATCGAGAAAATAGTATAAAATACACGTTGCAGAAGGCTATTCTCGCACTCATTCGTTCGTCCAGTCGCTCCTTCGTCGCTCGTGGCCAAATTTCGAATTTGTGCGGAAATATGTGGTCTTCTGCAACTTGTATTTTAATATACTATTCTCTCGGGGAGATGTACTACTTCGTGTACTATCTGGCCCGAGAATCGGCCCCCAGGATAGAACTCTACCTAAATCCAGTCAATCAAAAAACCTAGACTTACAATAAATCCTAAAAAAAGGAATTAAAAAAATAAAGAAAACGAGAAAGAAAAAGAAAATTGAAAATTTTGCAGGGACAGAATTTACATTGAGCTCTGAATTTACATCCAAGTCTACATCTAGGGATGAAGTACAAACAAAGCATTTATGACGATTCTCCAGATGGCAAGATGCATTTAGAAACCTCAAGTAAACACGATACTTCAAATGGAATCATCACAGAAACCATAATGCTGTCCTCTATGAACAAAGATGGTATATTGGTAGATGTATTGGAATAGACAACAACAAATACCGACTCAAATTTTTAAAAACTGTGCTAGATAAGTAGAAGTAGGTACTTTTACTTGGCCTAAGACTGACGAAATGTTTCGGAAGATAAAGCATACATATTTCATGGCGCTTTTGAGTTATTAGGTAACTGTCCAGTTCAACTGAAAAGAGCTCACGCATTATGCATTCCTAAAAAATTAAAGATCGAGCATCCAATTATGAGACAAAGCAGTTATATTAACTAGCTCAATAATCTCGATTCCTTTGTACTCCATGTATTTAGTGTACAAATTTGGCTGACGGTTTACCCCTGTGGGACCTAGAGAGAATAGACTATATTTGTGGAACAAATCTGAGTTATGTATACATCTGAAGATACCTAACTCTCCTGTGAAGAAGACGTCATGCAGGATTGATTCTACGAAAGTCCTTGGAAGTTCACATACAACACAAATTTGTTAACATTCCACATGCAAGGAGTGAAAGAAAATTCTGAAAACAGCTAATTATCTCCAAAACCACAGGTGCGATGCCTGGTTGAAATGACAATAAGCTAGAATTTAATTACTCCAAATATTTATTCAAGGCCTTGTTGACTTTTGTTAAAATTGCACCTGTGGTTTTGGCAATAATTAGACGTTCCCAGACTTTTCTTCCACTCTGTAAGTATAATACAGTAATTGGTATATACCAAGGTGGTAGTGTTTGATTTCGTTGCATCTCAGTTAACTACAAGTTTGAAACTTCCTATTGAGGTTAAGGATTGAGGTTTGTATACAACATAAACAATGCCACTTGGCGTTTATTGGTTGCAAAATGCTGTGTTCCTGAAGGAGAGGTATGTCAACTGCACATACACGTTATTTTGCAATGCCAATAATCAGCAGTGTTTATGTTTCAAAATTATTAAGGTTGTGTCCATCAGTCTATCTTGGAAAAAAATACAGTAGAGAAAATTTAATTTCTGACCCCTAAACTAGGAAGGAGAATGGTTCTTTTCCTTTTTTCGAAAATAATGCGCTCTGCTTTGCATCATGGATCAAACCAAACCATCCGCTGTACGAAAAGCACTATTTTCCTCCCATGGAATGCGGAAAGATAATAGATAATCATATAACTTTTTTGTTTTCTACAAGTTTACAAGTTTTGACATCAAAATTCTTTTTGACACCTCTTGGAATGAGGGTAGGCAGTGGGACTGGGCATTGGAGGAAGGTAATGGAAATGGGAGTAAAAAATGGAGTAATGACACCAGTCTGTGACCTCAAGCAAACAGTCGAAACTCACAAGTCACAGATTTTATTACAGAGGCAGTGGCAGTAGTAGGAGGCAGCTAATTCAGTTAAAACCATGAATTGAGATTACTGTTATGAGGCTCAGAAGCTTGAGATTCGACGTGAAGTTAACGAGTTAAAAATCTAGCATAATTAGAAGTGTATAACGAATTTAAAAAAAAAGGACCTTGTGTTAAAATATTTACAAAAACTTAAATCTTTCATTTTTATATCTGTTGTTTTATCTCTAGGCCTGTTTCAAGACATAAACTCGAAATACTGTATTTAAAACCTGCATCTAGTGTTTGAATTCATACTCTAATATTGATTTCAATAATTTACACTAATTACCTTGTAGGAAAACTTCATTTTAATCAGGAAACTGTGCACAGTTAAAATTCGTAGCACATTTTTATACACACAATTTACAAAAATTCGAAATCCAAAACATAAGTAAACACATGTAAGAAAGTTAGGTTAGCTAAGGGCGATTTCAATCGTTCATAACCGAAAATGGTTAGTGCAGAAAATCGCCTTTCTCTGACGTCACCGTGTATGCAATAATAGTGACATCTATGGAGTAATAATTGAAATATACGATTATCAATGCCTTTCCGTAGAGTTTAGAGCTTTAAACTAGAGCCAAGGAGTCTAGAAATTCCAGAATTAAAAAAAAAAAAAAAAACAAGTCTTGGATTGATACAAACTTGAGACACATTTTAGCTACAATTTTGTGGTTGCGTTCACCACGACCATGAAGCAAAGCCATGCGAGAGGTGCTTTAGCCACTCCCATAACTTTGACAGAAAAAGAACTAGAAAAATTACCAAGATTGTAAAATGACAAAGACCGAAAGTCCCTAGGGTGTGGACTTCTTGATTTTCAAGCTGTAGTGATTGAAGATTTTTGAGTTACGAGTGTTTTAAAACAATTATTTCAAAGGTTTTTAACTATGGGGTATATTTTAGTAATGTGGAATAAGTGAATTATAGTGTGGTGGGTAAGTAAAACGCCTTATTCAAGTGTTAAACCGTATTTATTAATAGCCTTGAATGTCTGAGGCAGGATACCTAAATTGAATACCTAATTGTTTACTAATATGTAAGCAAAAATCTCGCCTTAAATTGTACAAGAAATGGATATTGGATACACTTTCAACTGAAAAATGGGCGTAGAAACCTTGTTAAATATTTCGTTTTGTCTTTTGTGGTGGCTCCCATTGATTTTACTCGGCAGCAAATCAATACTATACCTACTATACCCAGTCTCCATTTTAAAACTTGCTTGGAGCCTTGATAATGAATTCGCGAAATTCTTTTGTACATTTTATTATTATATTCAATGTTTCACATAGCTTAGAGGTCAGTTTTGACGTATATTTTCACAATTTTTGGGTTCAGAAATGTTAACACCCACCTACTTTCCTTGTAGGTCCACTTTCTATGCCCCAATTTTTATAAATAATTTCAATGTCGACACTGAATTTTCTGATTATCTTATTTACTCATTATTTTTATGCACTAGAAATGTTGTTAATATCTACCCTACTATTATTTATGTAATAATTAGAAACTCTTTCACCCTAATTTTAAGTCTGATTGAAAACAATAGATATCCAGCTGATTTTTTAGTAGCTAGTTAGCTAGTAGGTAGGTAGGTACTTGAAGTTACAAGTTTTTTGAAGAATTAGGGACTCGATTAGGGACATCAATAAAGAGTTTTGATGAGCCTGGAATACCTATCCAAGTTTGTGAAATAAACTGTTGACTTTGGTAATCACCGAAGTAATTACTTACCAATATACAATATTTAATTTATTAAGGTTCGAGTTAAGGTTCCTGCAAAACACAACAAAGATAAATAATGTCAATAAAAATTATTTATTTATTTTATTTATTTATTTCAACAGATTTATTATTTACATTTTTAATAACAATATCATTAATGCGAGTAAAACAATAACATATTATTGTACAGTGTGGTCATTTTATCTTGATAACATTTTAAACTGTCATAATTTCTTTATTTTTAAAGTTATTCAAATATATAATAGTTATTTATGTATCAAGGGTACTAAGTAGATGATTATGCCCTGAGGGCGACAGTCTTACAAAGCCAAGGGCCTCTGGCCCAAGGGTTCGTAAGTCGACCGAGGGTATATATATCTATTAGTACCCGTGGTGCATACAAACTTTTATGTCATACCCGTTGGTTGTGAATAATAAATACCTGGGAAAAAAGTGTCACTTCGCAAATTGTCATCAGTGTGCAGAATCATCATTTTTTGACAAAAATTATAAATGTTTATAAGCGTAAATTTATATTTTGGTAATAAAGAATAAGTTAATTGAAAACTGATTTTTGCATCTTTATGCCCGCGCGGGCCATAATGTGTACTTTATGCCCGCACGGGCATAAAGTAATGAATTATGTAGATGGTATCTAAGGTATAAAAACACAATAATGTATTGGTATGACATAATAGTTATTTATGTATCAAGGGTACTAAGTAGATGATTATGCCCTGAGGGCGACAGTCTTACAAAGCCGAGGGCCTCTGGCCCGAGGGTTCGTAAGTCGCCTGAGGGTATATTATCTATTAGTACCCGTGGTGCATACAAACTTTTATGTCATACCAGTTGGTTGTGAATAATAAATACCTAGGAAAAAGTGTCACTTCGCAAATTGTCATCAGTGTGCAAACATCATAATTTTTTGACAAAAATAATATGTTTATAAGCGTAAAATTATATTTTTTTAATAAATAATAAGTTAATTGAAAACTATTTTTTGCGTCTTTATGCCCGCGCGGGCCATAATATGTACTTTATGCCCGCGCGGGCCATAATGTGTACTTTATGCCCGCACGGGCATAAAGTAATGAATTATGTAGATGGTATCTAAGGTATAAAAATACAATAATGTATTGGTATGACATAAAAAAACATACTGTAGGGTTGCTTTCCAAGTTTAAGATAGGGTGGACAAAAAACAAAAGACTCATATATTTTGACAGTTATGCGCACAAATAGCATTTTCTTGAATGGAACACCCACTAAATTTTCAGTTTGTTTGATAATATGTTTTTTATTACGCATGCATCATAATCAACGATTATCGCACGCTGCAGCGTGCATAAAATGATGTTTATTTACGACTAATGTATAATGTGCGTATTATATTTGTGATTTTGGCAGTATAATGACATATGTTATTCCTCCAGGGATTAATGACGAGTAGCGGGATTAATGGTCATTATTCCACAAGAGTGTCAATGTCAAACGTGTAGTGCTTGTGGATTTGTATTGAAAATTATGAGACGGATGAAATTTGTTCATTGAAAATCTCAAATAAATTAATTTGTCGTAAATAAAGTAGAGTATACTACTCGCAATAATGTCTATTATTCCCTCCGAATGTTACTCCCTCGCCGCTAACGCGGCTCAGTTCGTAATAATCCTCGGGAATAATAGCTATCATTATTGACTCGTGGTATAATCTACTATTATGATGCCTCTACCTTTTCAAAGGTTTGCTATAGAAACGTTCGATCTACCTTCATTACCTATTTATTTACCTGCATACCTGCCATTTAAATTACTACTTATCAAAATGAATGAACACGTTTAATAGTTATTTATGATATAAGTGTTAAAAGTACATTTTTAAGGCACGCATGTGAAAGTTTGCAGAATAAGCGATAACACAAATATCATACAATATTTTTTCTACAAACGTCAATAACAAGCAATAACCAGTGACAAATTGGATTTTTAAATAAATAATAAATTGGAAGCATCTTTCCTACATAAAATTATTGAAGTTGATATTTGTCAAAAAATTCAAACAACCAGCACCTTGTTTTACAGGTAATGAAATGTCTCGTCAGTTTCTTGAAAGTCTGTCGTATAGTCTATCGTGGTCAGTGAGCTTATTGCTAAAAATGCAACAGAATACACAAGAAAAAGAGGGTTGCATCAATCCCTTGAAAAATATAGAGGAGGCGGCCGAAGGAGCTTCCTCAGTTGTTCAAATTTTACCATTAATATTAATGTAAATAATTAAAAATACAAACTTTTTTTGTCGTTTGCTTTCAAATTTTGATGTTTCATTTTTAACACTAGTGCCTTAAAGACTTTTAACACTAGTGCGATAAAGTAACATTTTTAATGCTTCGAGGGGGTGTTAAAAGTTGCATTTTTAACACGTTTGTAGAAAAAACATTTTTGAGATTATGATGCATTCGTAATAAAAAATAGCGTATGATATGCGTGTATAAGAGGGCATTTAAAGCCCTTGCGACTTACAAAACACTCCGCTGCTCGTCGTGTTTTGAAATATGTCGCGCGTGCTTTAAATGCCCTCTTATACACTTATATCATAATATACTACTTTATATTTACATGCAGAAATGTTTTATTTATTCTAACTGAAAATATTGATTATCTACACAGATTACCTGCAAAGGTAGGTAGGTAGACAGAATTTCCCATTAGAATAAATAAAACATTTTGCATGTAAATATGAAGTAAAATTGTATTCAATTGTTTTGTATTGTATATAGTGCAATCAGAATGACACATATTATCAAACAAACTAAAAATTTACTGGGTGCTCCATTTGAAAAATTGCTACTTGTGTGCATAACTGTCAAAATATATTATAGTCTTTTGTTTTTTGTCCACTCTATCTAAAACTTGGAGAACAACCCTACAGTATGTTTTTTTATTTATTTAAAAAACTTCAAAAATAAAAAAATTATGACAGTTTGAAATGTTATCAAGATAAAATGACCACCCTGTACAAACTTAACAAAAATATCAAATACAACTTGATCACAATTCCTAATTTATGTACGAGTTTAGGTATCTACCTATTTGGAATTTTCATGTGTCACGCTCTAGGAACTCTTTCACCATTCTATCAAACTGTCCACAGAGATACATGAATATTATATCAATAGTCATTCTGTTCAAAGTCAAGTTCATTCCAAAATTTGCTTATGAAAACCAATATGCAACATTGACAAAATTCTCGACAAAATTAGACCTATTTCTATTTGCCTTTCAGATATTATTGGCGTAGCATCATCCTTAGAAATTTGGCAGGTTGACCCTCCTACGAGCCCTCCTATAATAATGACAGTATGTGTCAAATTCCAGACAGTTTTAAGTGTGTTTTAGATAATTTCGTAAGTGTCGCGGACAGTCGCGGTATTATTCTCTAGCCTATCTGGCCAATCAAATTTGACATATTTTTCAATGCATTTTTCAATAGTGCTATAATATAACCGGTACCCGAGCCGGTACCTAACTATTAGGCAATTCAAACCACGTGACATTCAAGATGGCGTGGCGGCCACACATGGCCCAAAAAACATAAAAAAATATCTAGTTTCTGCCGGAATTAATAGTTTAGGTACCTAGTCAACAAATATTTTATTAAATAATGAAAATCAAAGTTATAAGCAAAACTGTATGCAATATAATTTAAAATACGCAAAAAAACATCCAAAACAAACTTGCTTGGACGCCACGCCACATTGAATTTTCCTTTTTGACAGATGGATTGAATTGCCTAATTTTGCGTACCTGCGCAATCTAATGACATTTTTTAAAATTCGTCATCACAGTTCGTCATTGTCAGGCCCAGCGATCTCTCATTGCCAGTTATAAACCACATAATAACTCTTTTCCGTTTTTCTAGATGTCGCTGACAACCACAGAATTGTCAAAATTGTAAAATACCAGCACATCAAGAACACGTCCGATGTCAATAACTGACATGTCAACATATGACAATATGCCAAAATATTCATTTGATCATTACTTATAATTCATAATGTTTTTTGTTCGCCGGTCTTGCATTTCATCTTTCTTTGTGTTGTCAAGTGTTCTTAAGTGATTTGAAAGTTGTTTTGTGTGTTTCAAGAAGAACTTCAAACTTTATAGATTAGAAGATCTATTTTTATCTTTGTTGATTAGATAAATGACAGGTTCA